TGGCGAGCGGTTCATGATGCCCTTCCAGCGCTGCACATACGCCAAGGCAGTCAGATCACAGCCCGCCGCCTGCAGCGCCTCCTTCAACCGCTCCTGCTCCGATTCGGGCAGCTGCTGGGCGCAGATAAAGTAGATGATGTACAGACGCAGCTTGTCCTCCGCCTGGCCGAACTCTCCATCGCGCAGGAGGTCGAGTAATGGCCTGTCCAGTGTCTGCTTCGACATGACCTTCTCCTCTATCTCAAAGTACGAATCTAAACGGCGCGCCTTGATGAAGTTCAGAATGGCAGTGGCGATCTTGGTGTGCATGTCGATCAGTCGCTTCTTCTCCATCAGCTGGGGCAGCGAATTGACGGCATTGGTCAGCCGGGCGGTGGTGTCGTTGACCAGCGAGAAGGCAATGTCCGACTCGCCCTCGATGCCCATTGAGGTCTTGAGGCGCTTGATCTCCTCCTCGGAGTTGCGGTACGACTCCAGCTCCTCCTGAATGGCCTCGGCCACCGTGGGAAACGGACTGCCCTTGTGCGTCATCCAGAAGCGATCGTTGCGGTCCAAATCGCAGGCCTTCGGCTTCTTGCGGGCTCCTAAAAGAGGGGATAATTAATATAATTCAAAGTTCAGGCTGATAATGAGTCATTCAACTTGCCCGCACTGGCCGACTCATCCTCCACGTAGACCAAATTCAATCCCAGGTCCAGAACATCGTGCACCAGCGCCTGATACGACCAGGTATGATGCAGCGGCGTGGCCAGATCCATATTTCTGTCCAGCAGCAGCAGCACGGGTCGCTGGAAGCTGAACACTCCGCCGCCCGCCTGCGTGGCGTCCATGTGGAACAGATTGGCGCGCGCATCCCAGAGATTCTCGCGCAGCTTCTTCTCCAGCTTGCGGGCCACCATCTCGGCTGCGCTGTTCCGCGGACACCGGATGATGGGCACATTGCCCAGGGTCACGAACAAAGCGAATAGCGAGTCCACAATCGAGTCCATCAGCGCCTCCATCTCCTCGTCGCGGGTGTTGGCCCGATTGATGGCGTAGTAGGAGAGCTGCTCGCTCTGCTGGTGCTTCAGCACAAAGAAATCGTCCTCCAAACTGATGAAGTTCACATACTGATCGTAGACCCGCTGGATATTGGCCACGCAGCCGGCGTGCAAAGCAGCAGCGGCCAAATTCTCGATTTTGCTGCGCGTAATGGGAGCCAGGAAGTTCAAATGATACACATCGTACAGTCCGTTTGAGAAGTCTTGCTGAATCCTGTCCAGATTCTCGTCGGTGGGCAGGCAGAAGTATATAGCCGGCACATCTGGTATAGAATCACGATCGGAGTGGAGTTGCCTATGGGATAATGGGTATATATAAGCTAGATTCCTGGAGGATCAGACTTGACTTACACATGCAGGGTGACGCCCAATTCGCGCAGCTCCTTGATGGAAATGATGGGCGATATGATGTCCTGGCCAACGCGATCGTAGATGAGGATCTTCCACACGGGCTCAGCGGCCAAGGCTTTCGGCTGCTGCGAGTTTAAATTAAGCATCTGCTTAATGGCATCTGGAATTGGATAGGCAGGAAAACCCATTAATTAAGCTTTCCCCTCAAGGAGATCTCATGTTTCGGCGGTTTCTCACTGATTTGGCGCTCCCGCAGGGTCAGCATTTTGTGTGTGGCTGTGGCGGCCGTCGGTCTGGGTTGGTTTCAATGGATCTTCAACAAACTTAGCCCCTTTTAGTGGCTAAAAAACATAGTTTACAAAAAAACAACACGTCACAAGCGACTGCGGGCAACGCGTTTTGGCCAATTTTAGTGCATAGTGGGGGCATCAGCTGTGCCGAAAGTGTGAACGCTAGCAGCGGAAATACCAAAAATAATACATTTTAGTATTTTTTTAGTATAATCGAAGAACAAAAACCGTTGACTCTGGTAGAACACCTTGTGTTTGCCCAAAAAGCCGGTTTAGTTTTTGAATTTCGAACGTTTCAAATTTGTGAATATTATTTTACATAAGAAAATGTTAATCATTTCTTTAAAATCTATTTGGTGTAAGTCGAGCTTGATCAGGCGCAGTTTCATTCTGGCTTTCGAGCTACAAGGTTGAAATTCCAACACAAGTGACGGACAAAAAGTTTTTTTTAAACATTTCATATTTTATCATAACTAAAAAACTTTTGGTAAGATATTAAATTAAATTCTGCAGCTTGCAGCCCCAAGAAAGGGGGTACTCCGGTAGACATCAAAAGAAATAATAGATTATTAGAAACATGAAAATATAACTTTTCGTAGGAAATCATTCAAGAATTATTGATTTAAACCGTAATTTCGTGAGGCATATGTTCGATTATTTTTTCTTTTCTTGTGGTTTTATTATTTATTTCATTTCCATATAGTCGATCATGTCACATACTCATATATATACATACGTACAGTGACGTAGCCATAGTATTTCCCACGAAATATATATAAAATGTTATATATAAAATTTATAGACAAAAAAATGAGACTGCGAATATCAGATAAGCGGTTTTCGCTGATCTTTTAATTTCTAGCGAAAAGTTACGTGTCGAATGAGTCATTTGTTTCATTTGCACACAAAATATGTATATTGAGTATGATAATGAGTCGATCGATTCATTTGAAACAAATCAGCACTCTTGCGTCGTCGCTTGATCGGCATTGTAGAAAATAAATAATCAAGTATTCCCTAAACTTAGAAACGCTACACTGATAAAAAAAAAATAATTCATATTTAATTAAAATATTTTTCTGAATGTTTTTCATCCATTTCGCTTTTTATTAATTTTAAATATGAAAATATTACAATTAATATGTATTGTTAATTAAAATGTTTTAAACTTTAATTTCAATATAAATTTTTTTAGTGACGTAAAATATTTAATTTTAATATTATTAACAAGGAATATTGGACCTTAATTAAAATATTTTTTATATTAAATATTATAATTTTGTATTCAATTCAAATAAAATATTCACTCAATATGCAAATATTTATTTTAGTTATTTAATTTTTTTTATCAGTGTAAGCAAAAATATATATGTTAGCGGCATTAAACAAAATAAATAATCAAATATTCCCTAAATGAAGAAACGCTTATCAAAAATTTACACATTTAAATTGATCATCTTTAAAGGGCATAGCAGACTTACCTAGGGAAAACGGCCCCCAGCGATTTTTAAAAATTTTGAATCAGCGATGGTAGATAATTAGAAGGAGAATATGGAAACCAATTTTCAAAGCTATTGGACATTTGGCTGAGGAGTAATCGTCTGCAATCCAAAAATGTATTTAAGTTTATATCTGACCAACGGAAACGCTTAACTGAAAATTAGTGATGAGAAATCAAAGGGATAAGAAACAGGTCCTCGCTAAAGAAGCTTGGAATTTTTAAGACTTTTTAAAAGTGCAGAAAACCACGATTAAAATTTTCAAAAAAATTTTTGACCACTTTCAAGTTTTGGCAACACCACCAATTTTTTACAGCTCCTGTGTCTTTTAACCATTGAATTAATAAAAAAAAATCATAATTTTATAGGTGGTGCAACAGTGTCAAAGAAAGGAAAAACTAGATTTCAAGTAGTTTTGTGGGACTTTTTCTACAACCCGGCCACCCCAGTTTTTTTTTTAAGTTTTTGAAGTGCACAGTACCAACTTGATTGCAAAGCCCATTGCTTCCAATATTTATTCTCACACCTATTTTGGCACTATCATCACTTTTTTGCCGTATTTTGGCGTTAGAAAGAAAACAAGAAATCAATTTTATCTTTCGAGCAGAAAGCACGATTTGCATAATTCAAAAGCAGAAATATCTGTCTTTTCATGGCCGATTACGAGATAAAAAAAATAATGCTTTCAGACCATAGATGTCCATAGATGTTCAGACCATTTTTTAAGTCCAAAAGTGGGATTTCGGCCAATAGGTAAGTTTAAAAAATACCATTCTATCCCAATTCACTGGATTCAATGTGGGATCTCCGTTGAGGAATTCGCTATGAATTCTTTTCATTGACCTATTACTTTTTTCCAAAGCATCTATAATTTTGTGTATTACATATTAAAAATTACTACTTTTGACAGTTAAGTAATACAAAAACGAACTAAAGAATTCACACAGTAAATTGGGTTCCCTTTTGCGAAAAATAGAATGGTATTATTTCAAACTTGCCCATTGGCCGAAAGCCTATTTTTTGAATTAAAAAAATGGTATCGCTGGGTCATCAATGGTCTGAAAGCATTATTTTTTTATCTCGTAATCGGCCATGAAAAGACAGATATTTCTGCTTTTGAATTATGCAAATCGTGCTTTCTGCTCGAAAGATAAAATTGATTTCTTGTTTTCTTTCTAACGCCAAAATACGGCAAAAAAGTGATGATAGTGCCAAAATAGGTGTGAGAATAAATATTGGAAGCAATGGGCTTTGCAATCAAGTTGGTACTGTGCACTTCAAAAACTTAAAAAAAAAAGCTGGGGTGGCCGGGTTGTAGAAAAAGTCCCACAAAACTACTTGAAATCTAGTTTTTCCTTTCTTTGACACTGTTGCACCACCTATAAAATTATGATTTTTTTTATTAATTCAATGGTTAAAAGACACAGGAGCTGTAAAAAATTGGTGGTGTTGCCAAAACTTGAAAGTGGTCAAAAATTTTTTTGAAAATTTTAATCGTGGTTTTCTGCACTTTTAAAAAGTCTTAAAAATTCCAAGCTTCTTTAGCGAGGACCTGTTTCTTATCCCTTTGATTTCTCATCACTAATTTTCAGTTAAGCGTTTCCGTTGGTCAGATATAAGCTTAAATACATTTTTGGATTGCAGACGATTACTCCTCAGCCAAATGTCCAATAGCTTTGAAAATTGGTTTCCATATTCTCCTTCTAATTATCTACCATCGCTGATTCAAAAATTTTAAAAATCGCTGGGGGCCGTTTTCCCTAGGTAAGTCTGCTATGCCCTTTAAGATTATAACTGACAGTTACTCATTTTAGTTCACCATGACCCACGACATCAAAGAAGAACTCTTGGTAAGTACAAGCTAAATTATTCATTGATTAAAGTTCTAATAAACAAACTAATATTTTAGCCCAGTTCCGATTCAGAGATGAATGAAGTGAATGGATCAAGCGATCAAAAGGAGGACGTACAACTTGTAATTAACCTGTTGAAACGCAAACTTGAGGATGCGGACGAAGAACTGAAAGTGAAGGATAGGCGAATCGCTGAACTAGAATCCCTAATCAAAGTCAAAGAAGAAAATGGGATTCAAATTGTGAGGCTGCCTGGTATTGATTTTGATTTCGATGCAGCTTTTGAGGATATTCCTTCAGCCGGGTCAGAATGGATGGTAATCCAGCGACGTATCGACGGAACTGTATCCTTCAACACACTGGATGCAATGCATGAACATTGGTATAAGCACGGATTTGGAAATCTTGAAGCGGAATTCTGGTTTGGTTGCGAAAAGCTTCATAAGTTGACTACAAATCGCCGGCATGAATTGTACATTCAACTTGTCGATTTTCAAGATGCTACTGCCTATGCGAGATATGATAACTTTGTGGTTGGCAGCGAAGGAGAAGGATACGCTTTGAAGTCCCTGGGTGAATACTCGGGAACCGCTGGAGATGCCATGTCGCGATCTGTGAATAAGAAATTCAGGCACTACGACTGTTACTATGGGTGTTTTTTTTTTTTGGAGTTTAAGTTACCGCGTCATCCGTAAGTGATGCGGAGTTATTTGGCCGCCCTGGTGTTCCAGGAAAACGCCAAGGCAAAATTCGTTTGTATGTGTTTCAAATTCACTTAACCTAAAAGTGAATCCACACCACGAGGTCCCTTGCCCTACCCGGCGCGAATTGTGCGTGTTCCTTCAAGGGCCTGTGAATGTGGACTGTACTATGGGTGTTATAATAGGGCGTTTTATTGGTCCTGGTGGGCCAATTCCCAATGGTAATTATATAAACTGTTATCATAAACCATAATAATAATAATTTAATATTTTCAGCAATCTGAATGGTTATTACCATTCATGGGAAATGAATCTGACTGATACGAATGGCGTTTGGTGGAGCACTTGGAACAACAGAGGAAGACTTAATCTGAAATCGTGTAAAATGTTTATCAGGCCATACCAAACTGAATGATAATTTAATCATTTGTCTACTCAAAATTCAATCAAAAGAACAATATTTGAAGGAATTATTTTTTAAAGTTTTTGCAAGTGGTTACAAATTTTGTAAATTAGTATGCCATTGTCCAACAAATACTTTAAAATAAACCAGAAATCTATTTGGTGCAAATGTTTTTTTTATTTGTACCTATTAAAAGTAAAATTTATTCTCTCAGTTGGGATGGGTTTTTTCCTTTTCAGCTAAATACTTTTAATACTACTAAAAAATATTACTAATACTACCCAAAAACAAATTTTTAAAATAAAAAAACCCGACATTATTTAAAAAAATTTTCAAATAAAAGCGTGTGACCAGACGAGCCTCGATCTATTGCAGTGGATACAGGCTATACACATTTTGGTCGGTATTTTTTAATCAACTAAAAAGAGTGCATTCGCAGCAGGTTGGCAGCTCGCTTCGGGATTTCCGGCATGGTCACACCTGTCAGCTGATTTCGAAAAGTCACCCTACTGAATTTCCCCGTTTTTCGTTTCATTTATTTTCATTTCGTCGACGCGAGTGGTTCGTTGTTCCGTGCCGTTTTATTTACGATTTATAGTGAGTGCAGTGTTGTCTCGCATCGAAATGATCCTGGAAGCGGAGCATCCGCATCAGCGCGTCGCGAATGCCGCCCAGGCGGTCCGCCAATCGCACCTCCGCTGGCGCCTTTCGCATATGACCGCGATGAGTGCCAAAAAAACACATTCGCGTACCACTTGCTGCGGTCGCGTCGTCAGTCGGAATCACTTTTTCAAGCACAGTCGCGCCTTTCTGTGGTTCCTGCTCTGCAATTTAATGGTGGGCGTGGACCGCGCCCACTCCCAGCTGCTCATCAACGTTCAAAATCAGGTGCGAAACTTCAAAAAGTATTATAAAAGAAAAATTGCCCAAATCAAAGCCCCCAAAATCACACAAAGCCAACAACAAAAAACAATGACGCTGGCAGCGCTGCCCATTCCATTTTCGAACAGCTCATTTCGAAAATGAGCGCGCCAAAACAAAACAATTTAAAAATGTGAGAGAGTACGAAAGGGCGAATAAGTGAGGTCTTTAAGCAAAATAAACAAAACGGTTGGCTAGGAAATTTACAAGAATTTACGAAACGATATTATTTCAAACTGTATGTTTAAAAGGACATTTCTTTTGAAAAATGGTAGATTTCTTTGAAAAATATTTTTAAGGGAAGTTTAGAAAAACCATTACAAGCCATATAAACGAGATTTTGACAAATTCAAAAAGCGGGCAACTTTATAACTTGACAACTATTCAACAAACTTTAATTTTTAATGTGGATAGACTTCTTTTAATATGTTTTGTGTTATTAAACACAACTCAATCCCACTAAAAAAAACTTTTTTATTAAAAAAAAATTATTTCTCGGGATTGAATTTAAATTGTATATATTTGATAATTTCTAAAACTAGTAACATAAACTACTGATGGTTTATAGTAGCTTAGGTTATTATATTTCTTAGAAAAGATAGTATAATCTGCATTGAAATCAAATTAAATTTATTATTCCTTTATCAGTTTCAATTGCTGCTTGGCAATAACCAATTTGGATTAGAGGGGAACAGATTTCTTCTTTTGATTTATGCTTTATGATTTAAATAGAGCATTGTTTGAATGTCCAATTATAAGCTAGTCGATCGTTAAGATGGAAATAAGATTTAAAAGGAATAATTATCTTAATCTCTTGCTCCATAAAAAAATACATTAAAGAAAGTGAATTATTTAATAAAATAAGTGCAGTTCAATGTCAAACTGGGGGCTTTCACTTTCCTGACGTTTCATTTTTCCACTTTAATATTAGTTGGCTTTGTTTGACTGCCTCAATATTGACACTTTGCTTTCGGCTTTTCCATAAATTTTAGATTAGTTGGCCAAAAAAGCACGGGGCTTATAATGAAAGCTGGCAGCAGCCAAACTCGCTGTTTCTGTCTCTTTCTCTTTTGCTTTTGCTATCTCACTTGCACACACGGGGCCATATTTGTTTACATGTGACATCCTTCATTGTTCTCCTCACTCTGTCCCTGGCCCCAAAATGTCCTGTCCCGCTCTCTTCCTCTGCTCCACTTCGCCTGCATCCTCTTTGCTCCTCTCTCTTTCCTCGGCTGTTCTTTGTTTACATGCGCCTTTGTGCAAACACACGAAAAACCCAGGAAAACAAGAACAAAAAAAAACAACAGAAAACAAGGATGTTTCAAGGATCGAAATTCCAAATACCCTTGCAAATCCATTAGTTATATAGTTTCTAATATTATTGAAATTCTCAAGTTTTTAAAGAATCCCATTTAAATAAATATTAATACCGATCCATTTCTAATAAAACGCTCTCTTGCACATTTAAAAAGAAACACAAAGCAAATAAAGAATTATCAATATTAATATTTTAACTACTTATTTACATATCGATTTTATCGATATGAATATTTTATCGAATTATTTATATATCGATTTGAATATGTAACTTCTTATTTGTATATTGAAATGATCGATATTAACTTTTTAAAGTTTAAAAGTAAAGATTAAATAAAAAGAACACTAAAATCCGACACGAACTAATTAATAAGGAAATAATAGTACTCTTTTTAAATCTATATAGACTTTAAGTCTAAATAGTAATACCCAAAACCAGAGTATTGCAACAATAACACCCACAACCAACATATTTGTTCGTGTTACACGTGTAGTAAAGGGCAAATTCTGTTGTTGTTGAACTACATTTCGGATGTTGTTGTGGGGTGACGAGTTGACTCCCCGTTCTCATCCTCATCCTGCCCTTTTGCCATAGCTCATCTCTTCTCCATTTCGTTTTCGTTGGCCCCTTATGTTTTCTTTTTCTATTTTTCAACTCTCTTGACTCTAATTTGGTTCATGGCCGCCCAGCTTCAGGAGGTCCTGTCATAGTTAATTTAAGTCCTGACAACACAGGGAACCCCTCGGCATCATCATCTCATGGCTGCCTTTGTGCCGTATTAATATTTTAGCTGGCTGGTTGGTGGGGGTGGAGGAATGCCGAGTGCCGAGAAAGTAATTTAACACTTGTTGCTCTCTAATCCGATTCTTTTGCAGGGCGGCGAGGTGATCCAGGAGAGTATTACCTCCAACATTGGCGAGGACCTGATAACGCTGGAGTTCCAGAAGACCGACGGCACGCTCATCACCCAGGTCATCGACTTTCGCAATGTAAGTGTAGTACCAAAAAATCTTTTCGAAAGCCACACGAGAGCCCAAATTAAAAGTTAAATATTCCTCTCTTCCACCCGCAGGAGGTTCAAATCCTCAAGGCCCTGGTGCTCGGCGAGGAGGAGCGCGGCCAGAGCCAATACCAGGTCATGTGCTTCGCCACCAAGTTCAACAAGGGCGACTTCATCTCCTCGGCGGCAATGGCCAAGCTGCGCCAGAAGAATCCGCACACCATCCGCACCCCCGAGGAGGACAAGGGCCGGGAGACCTTCACCATGAGCAGCTGGGTGCAGCTGAATCGCTCCCTGCCCATCACCAGGCATCTGCAGGGCCTCTGCGCCGAGGCCATGGACGCCACCTACGTGCGGGATGTGGACCTTAAGGCCTGGGCGGAGCTGCCAGGTGAGTGCTATTTTTTTATGATATTTTCAGGGTTACTCCTGATTAAATGCCTAAAGGTACATATATATCTAAGGATATTCTTGTGATGATAGGTAGGATAAAAATATATTAGGCGACAGAGCATATCTACTCCATTTCTATAATTTTTTTGTTGGTATTTTTTTCGATTTTTATTAAACAAATTTCATCTACTTACCCCAGGAATATGCCAATTTAATAACTTAATTTTTTTAATGGAAAACAAAAACCTTTTGTGCTTCTGTTTATATAATGTTCAGGCTGTAAATGGGTATTTCGCGTGTGCTACACGCAATATGGTTTAAGTTCTACACAAACAACATTAATAAAACGAAATTATGAAAGGACACACGTTGTTGAACAAGTTAAAACAACTTAAATGTGTTTTAAAAAAATGTAGCTTTTTAAATGTATAGAATTTTAATTAAAAGTCAATGGTCGTCCAAAATGTAATGCTCTTTTATTTTTAAATTTATTTGAGATATCAAAATTTAACGAATTAATACATAAACTCCTCAGAAATCGTTCTAAAATAAGTAAGGGAAAAACTTGGGTGTAGATATCGTTTAGTTCTGAGGGAATTTTGCACTTTGAAACTTTCTGTTTACGCTTTTCGTTCCGTTTTCCGTTTGTTGCCTTCCCCTGGCTCCTGCAGGCTCCTCGATTTCCAGCCTGGAGGCGGCCACCGAGAAGTTCCCGGACACGCTCTCGACGCGCTGCAACGAGGTGAGCAGCCTGTGGGCGCCCTGCCTGTGCAACCTGGAGACCTGCATCGGCTGGTATCCCTGCGGACTCAAGTACTGCAAGGGCAAGGGAGTCGCCGGCGGAGCGGACTCCTCGGGCGCCCAGCAGCAGGCGCAGCCGACGAATTATCGCTGCGGCATCAAGACCTGCCGCAAGTGCACACAGTTCACCTATTATGTGCGGCAGAAACAGCAGTGCCTCTGGGATGAATGACGACGCGGCGAGCTGCAGCTGATGCAGATGCAGATGCGCTGTGCCAGGCGGCGGAATGGGAGTGAGGATGCTGTCACCTGCCCGGGTGGTGGTGAAACAAGAGCAGCAGCAGGAGCTACACCGGCGACAATAACTGGGAGGAAAGATGGGAAGGATACAACGGGCGCAACAACGACGACCAACAAATTACGCCAACTGCTTTTGTTGGTCCAGCAGCAGATGCCTTTTGCTCTGTGGAGTTTTCCGGTCCATCACATTTCCCAGCCCCATTCGCAAACCCCACATAAACCCAGCGAGCATCAGCAGCATCAGCATCATTCTCAGGTTGCCCCCACCTCGTCATCACCATCATCATCATCCTCATCCGCAATGGCCGCCATCGTTGCGTGATAATGAACGCTCGAAATACCCAACTTCGCCATACTCAACCCCAAACTACACGGCCAGAAAAAAAACGAGTGTTGACACTTTTTCCGCTCACCATTCAAGATTCTGGATTCTGGTTGGACCACAGCTAAGATAAAAAGGAGTAAAGCGAAATAAATGTAAAAATGTGCTTCTGTATACTATGTATATATATATGTATATTTAACGATGATTAGCTTTTAGCCAGCTTACGTTTTACGCTTATGCCGGATTTCGTTTTAGACCTAGATTAGGTGTCCTTATTCAATTTGACCCGAAGTGAGCTCGCTGAATTAAAGGTTAAGCACTTATAAAACATTTTCCTCCTAGCATTTACCTTTATTTTATTTTATTGAATACTCTAAATTTTCTATCTAAAGAATTACTATAAAATTTGAGACTTTATAGCGTTTTTTCTATTCAACTCTTCTCATCTTTCTTCAACATTTTCTCAGGTATTTAGGAATTGCTAACCATTTTTCCTTCAAGCTTTCTCTAGCTTCCTCTAGCTTTCTTCGCTTATTTATCTGTTCTAGTCCAATGCCAATTTGTTTACTTTGCCCGTTCACTTCACACTTTTTCCATCCACATTGTGTGCAGCAATTTCGTTTCAATTACCCTTTTACAGCGTTTTATATTTCCTTTGTTTGCCTTTAGCTCCACTTCACTTTATCTTACCTTTACCTTTACCTTAACTGAAGCCTGATTAGATGTATTAAGAATGTTGGACACAATATCACGTTCCACGCTCCTTCCACTCGTGTTGCGTTGAGCTCAAGAATATTAAATAGGTATAGGGATATAAATAAATTAAATGTGGCCTTAGCATATTTTATGAGCGGTAGAAAAAAAGGAAATTAATCGAACTAAGGAATTTGTCAGGCGTTGGCAGAAGCAGAAACAGAAACTCGTAATTAATTGTGCTCATAATAGTTGTAACAGAAAAACCACAAGAATATGATATATTGCCATTTAGGGGATGGTGAGAATGTGGGGAATTCTACTAACCAAAACGACTGCCGCAATAAAAGCTTTTCTATCTTTTTCCACTCGATAATGGCTGTTTGAGATACCCCGTTTTTCTCTTTCTTTCCAATCTTTCTCCCTCTAAATCTACACTAACTAAAAACTAGACCGTAAACACGCCTGCCTTTTTGCCTTTGACTTGTAACCTTTTCCACTTTATATTCGAAACAAATGAAATACCTTGCGAAGAGAAAACCTTGAGCAAATTAAATTGATACCAATAATAAACAATACCAAGAACAATAATCTATTGTATAAATTTCAAGAACCTAGTCTACTTAGAGTGTTAGAATGGCATATTTTCCTAAAAGCGTACTACAAAAAAGAAATCAAATGAAAACAAAAGAAAAAGTCTTAAACCAGTTTCGACGACAAGAAAAACCAACGGTGATAATAATTTTTTCTACGATACAGAAAGGCAACTCCTTCGACTCACTGTGTGAAAATGTAATGGAAACGAAATTGATCAAGTGTAAAAATTGATTAGTATTAATAAGCATTTAAATACGATATAAAACTCGATGATCTGAATTGTGTAAAGAGCATTTGCCAATAATAAACGATTAATCGACTAGTCCTAACGAAAGTAATTGAAATTAATAATTAGTCTTAATACAAATGCTGACAAATTCTACGTTTTATATAAAAAACCAATAACGAAAACATTAAAGCTGTCTTTTATTCTGAATGGAACTATTATTTGCATAGATTTTGGTTATTTTCGATGGGCAAGCCAAGTTTATTAATGCATTATTCCTAATCATTGAAGAGCTCTCCGAATAGCCAACCAACCAACCAACCTCTCAATGCATTAAAATGCCCGACATGCTGTGCGTTGTTTGCCCAGCCCTTCAGTACTCCGCCAGGACCTGATCCGCATCCGCATCCGCATCCTGTCTGCAGTGCAGGCTGCACGGAAGGAGCCGTCTTGAGCCAGTGGCAAATCCTTTATGCGATTTGTAATTCATGAGCAGAGCGCACAGATTCTTATCATTTATTTTACTGCGCAATCGGTATCGACGCGGCGGGGCTAAAAGGAGAGGGGAAAACAAGGACCAAGCCAACAGACATCTAGACAAACACTTCCAGCCAATAACTATATTCATGGCGTCTACTGTAGCCGACGATAGCTTAAGACGTGCGGAAACCAAATCGGCGTCGTAGAAAATTGAATTTGTTACGATTTCGCAGGAGTAGAAGTACGACGAAGAGGAGGAAGGGGTGGAGGAGGACCCCCTGGAAACCCTATTCCGAATCCGAATAACCAACTGAAGGGGAGCCAACGTATGTGCATGCCTAATGAGCCATGAAATGCCAGAGCCTGGATATCTGGATCCCTTTTGCCTTTGCTTTTTTCGGTAGGTCATTTCCTGGTGGGTAATCAGCGACAGCTGGCTGCTCGAAAACAAACCCCCTGGTGGGTGGATTGCTGGGTGGTTGGCTCATGGGTCAGGGCCACCCAGTGACCTCCGACCCTCCACGTCTATATAATTAAAGCATGCAGCTGCTGGCGTGTAAATCAAACAAAATCAACTCTCTTCGCAGGCTCTTAATTAAGTTTACACTCTCGGAATTCGATTTCTCCATCCATATTTCTCGTTTTTCCCACTGGTCAGTCGTAAACCCAGCAAATGTGGCGAAATCAATAAGGTGAGTGCGTTTAATAAATATTTAAATAAGTTATTTAATTTATGTATATTGAAATATATTTTAATTCATTTAATAAATAAGTGTTTAAGACTAATTTAAGGTGTCTAAAAGTATGCTGTAATATATTTTGAACTCAAAATTCATTGAACCTTTATAAATAAAAATAATAACAAATTTATTGTAGGCAAGTTTAAACTTTTTTTATATTAATATTGCATTTAAATAAACGCTGTAGTAATTACAATATTTAAAATATTTGAAAAACTACTTAGTAAAATCTTAAAATCTTTAATTTTTTAAACATCAAGAGCATTGCTGTTCTTCCCCTCAACTTTTGCATTGAAATCCTTCAAAAATCTCCGCTCTTGACATTTGCAATCGGCAGTGGTATGTGGTTTGTCGGTTTCAGTGTCGGTTATCAGGCCAGCGAAAGCAGCTTTCTCCCCACGACATTCCACCCCTTATTCGCCACCCCCCACACTCATAGAAATTTTCCGGTAAAATCGCCCTAAAAACAAGGAAAATCGCCCTAAAACGGGGGTCAATGGCGACTAGGCAACAAAATTAGGGCAAATTGCCCTAAAAATACGGGTGAATTTGTCACACATTTAGGGCGATTTTTCGTAGATCTAGGGCGATTTTTCTATTTTTAAAGCTAATTGCCCTAAAAATAGGAAATGAGACCCTTACACTAAAGGCAGTTTCCTTTAAATCCAGGGCGATTTTTCTGGACTTATAGGCGAATTGCCCTGGAAATCGGAAAAAATACCTTTAAACTAAAGGCAGATTTTCATAAATCTAGGGTGTTTTTCTGGATTTTAGGGCAAATTGCCCTAGAAATATGAAAAAATATCCTGAAACTAAAGGCAGATTTTTATAAATTTAGGGCGTTTTTCTGGATTTATAGGCGAATTGCCCTAAAAAAAGCAAAGTGCTCCCCAAAATTTCCCGGCTTTTTTTCATAAATAAAAATACGATTTCATTATTTTTTTGTTTTTTTTATATTTTTGTTTGTTGTTATTTACACAATTTGTAATTATATACATTTACATACTTTTCTACTTATTCTTATTGCTAAAAGAATTACATCGATCTTAAAAATAATGTTTTGGCTTAATGTATTTTTTGGTCCTTAGGTTTTGTGCTTCCGCCGGAGGAAATTTTAGGTCTTTTAAGGTTTATTACAATAAGTACTGATTATCAAATTTTACTTCTAATTGAATGCATAGAAATAATATTTTTTTTGGAATGAACAGATTGTTTCTTTAAAATAGTTACAGTTTTAAGGTTTTATAATCCTTCAAGAGTTCGGATAAAGCTTTACCTTTCTTATCAGACTATAAATGAATTTCATAAAACATTTTTTGGATAAATGTCGTGGTTTAAAACAAAAAATATTTTGAAGCACACATCAATACTTTTCAATAAGGTTGGCATTCTATAAATAAACCTCTGATAGGTAAACTGGAAATTCACCAAGGTCAAAAAGGGCTTGTTCCCACGTTGCAGCTGAATGGTTGCAGTTTCGGCTTTCCGGATTAGCAATTTTCCGTCAATGCCTTTAGATGTGTTTGCAGTTCCCCAACAGTAGCCTTCCAAACCAAGAAACGGCTTCGCGGGTCCGCAATGGTGTGCTTCGCGTTCTTGCTCCCGCCGTCCTTTTTTGTCATTGCTGTCGCACCAACACTGAATGGATCGCAACCCAAATTAAAGTTGATTGTATCTCTATTAAATAAAAACAGTCTATTTATTGAATGAGAAAAGAAAAAGAGAAAAAGCACATACCTTCAGCGTGGCTTTCCAAAGATTTGAGCAGTTTTATTCCCTTACTTTCGCTTTTAAAAAGTGCGAAAAGTGGTTTGCGGAAGCTGGATCTCAAAGACGTTCTCAATCTAAAACAAGAAATAAAATTGTTAGAAATGAATATAAAAATGCACTACTAACAGTCAGAATTTTCATTTAGCCTGCGATTGCGTTTGCTGCTACTTCTGCAACAAAAGCAAATTTCGGTTACTGACGAAATTACGCAATAGAAATTTGGGGGTTATTTTGGCATATGCACTTGTGAATGCGGTTTGTCCGGTGCATAAATACAGATTTCTGGTAAATATATACATCTGTATACATGTGTATATTCTGTTGCATCATTTTTTTTACCTCAAGCATTATTTACATATACACATACATATATGTATACTCTTATTAATGTTCTTACTTTGTTCTGCCACACTTCCAAAACTCTACATCTGGACCACTGCTTCCAGTCAAATCTTTTTAAGTTTCAGCTGCATTTTCCTCTGTTACAGATATGTAAATTCAATTAGTTTTTAATATCCAAATTGCACAATTATATATGTATGTACTCACCAGAAAACAGAGAAAGAATCGCCTCCCAAGTCCTTTAATAGCGTTTACATTTTTCACTTTTTCACAAACACGCCTTTCGCCGCCAAGCGCCCGAAAAATTATGACAAAGTCTAGACAATGCAACTCTTTCTACCCCCACCCTTGCCACTGCAACGGACGAAAGTAGCAAAGAAGAAGAAAAAGGGTGGACTTCTCTAAAGTCAAATGCGCTCAGCATCAAAATTCATAGAAAAAGGTACGCCCTAATATACACACACATTCACTTGTTTTGACCTGTCAACCACACACACATACACACATGTATTACATATGTATCCATTAATTGCGTCTTAAAATTTCGTTTGACTCTTCCTTGTTTTTAGGGCAATTTCAGAACATTTTTTTTGCTATTTTGTTCAACGTTTTAAGGCGATTTCGCCCTAAAAATAAGAAATTACTTTTGGAGTCTACTCATGAAAATTCGCCCTAAAAAACAGGGCAAATTGGCCTTTTTGGAAAAACTAACCCTAAAAAATATTTTCCATGGCGATTTTTCGTAACTTTAGGGCTAGCCACCCGTATAATAAGAAAAATTTTCGTAGTTTTAGGGCGACCTCGGTTTTAGGGCGACTTTTCTAGTATTTAGGTAAAAATTTCTATGAGTGCAGAAAAAGTTCTCGAGTGAGGGCGTACTATACTCGCAAGTCCATATGCCTCCAATGTTCGTGTGTGAGTGGCCGTGCTCATTGCTGTGGCCATGTGAGTTTTTCCTATTGACTTTTCAGGTCAAAAGGCGGCTGTGCGCTTAATATTTGCATAACTACTTAAAGCAACCGGCACGAACACGGAATGTTAAGGTACTTATCATCTGGCAGAAGGGCTCGAATCGGGGACTCTCGGTCGCTAGGCATTCGTGTGTTTATCTCTGCGTTAAATTAAAATCACTCATACGCCGTGTAATCATCGCAAATAGGCCCTCCAGAGTTCGCTTCTGCAGCAAAGTTCAAGGCGCACTTAAAGCGTTTGCAGGAGGGGGAAGGGGGTCTTAAGTCCCCTCCCCAGAAACCCCACTAATTTGGCCGAGTCACGTAGGACGGTGAAACAAAAGCAGCTGCAAAGCCGACGACTTGCCAACTACTTTTGAAATGTAATTTTCACTTTTGCCAACTTGACAAACTGACGCACAGACTGACATTTCCCTTTGTCATGGGCGTATGGGGGGTCAAGGGGGTGGCATTTCGGTTTTGCCCCCTGTCCCCGGGGTAATTGAAAGTTTTAACAATTAGCCGGGATCGTTGAGAGTACCAAGTTTATGGCCAAATGACTGCGCCTAATGGTAGGCCGTAATTATTGTTTGTGTGACCCTTGAATTGAACTCAATTTTAATGAAAATGGCTACATTGAGTTAAAAGTTGAAAATCATACAAGTTTTGCTTGTCTTTTTGAAGAGTTTTCCATTAAATGGGCTTCTTAATTAAAATAAATCATATTTGTGTGTTCATCCTAAAAAAGACATATTTAAATGTGCGACAAATGAATTCAAAAACTAAACCAATTTATTTTAAGATTTAGGAGTAGCGAATTTTTTCGTAAAGTTGTCCTTAAAATCACTCATACGACACGTGGAACCAAAAACTTAATTTAAAATGTATAAGAATTTATATAAATAAAAATGTTATATACATTTTTTTAGTCATTAAAATTGTACTTATTTTATTCATATTAAAAAGAATTTTTCTTTTCTGTTTGTTCGTACATTAATTTCAAATCAAATCAATGCGATTCCATCTTCCGGAACACCTGCCGTCTTAATTTGTAATTGTCATTCGATGACAGTTAATTGAATTGCCCCAATTGGATGACCCCCAGGCATTTCGGAAACTTTTTAGGGACCTTTCCTTCGTCTTTCGGCTGTCATCATTATCGCTGCCATTATGCGTGTGGACGGTCGGATGGTCAGCCCTCGTTTGTGTTCCTCAACTGCACTGCACATAAATCAATGACAATCAAAATTCATTTCGTTTGCCTTGATTTATTGCTTTTGTTTGATTATGTGGGTGGTCTCCTCCTTCCATCCCCAAAAATGCGATGTTCTGGCTTATCACAATGCATATTAATGTGAGTTATGGTGTGTGTTTGCCTGAAAAGAAACAAAGCAAAACTAAGTTCGGCTCGGAGTTCGGTGATTCCCTTTTTTCCCCATACAAATATTAAAGACACACAGGCAGCAACGGCATGTGCACGCCCTCTTCAGCTGAGTAGCAACCTTTTCTCAGTTTTTATTCCGCATTTTTTGTTACTTTTTGGGTTGGTTGGGTTGGTTTATACCCAAATCCACGCCCCCGCACTGCTGCCAAATCATCAATCAAACGCGTGTGATTTGCTACAGTTCAAATTTCGCTCTCAGTTCAATCGTTCAGCCATTCAAGCAGAAATACAAATATTTGCTTTTTTCCAAAGTACAAAAGCAGCCCTAAGGGTTGGGAGATAGGGGACACTAGAAGAAAATCCAGCAACTAAGAAAATAAATATGTAAGAATTTAAAAATATTTATATATCACTAAAAGTTACTCTGTATTTTGAATTTATATTTTTAGATTTATAATATATTTTAAAAATATTTATAAATAGTATTATCTTCATTAGTAGTAGGTATATCGTATTTATATATATTTCTTTAGGTGTAGTGGATGGGCGAAGGGCATAGCCAGTTGGGCGTCCATGCCGAGGGCTTAGTTCTGTCCTTCCTGCCTGACTGACATGGCTTAAAAATCGAGGCCTCTTCTCCAGCTTTTCCCGTCAAGAGTCGGCAGAAAAAGGGTAAGCCACTCTTCGCTCACAGGTAGCAGCTGTTACTCCTCCTCGCTTTTCCCAGTCCAGGTCTTCAGCTCTCCAGTTCTCTAGACCTCCTGCTTTTTCCATTTTCCGACTGCCTAATCTCCTGTGTGATGGGCTGGCAACCTGTTACATGATTTACCCCACCCCACCCACTTCTGCCCCAAAAGGAGCCGAGGGCAACAAATGGCCTCCGTAATAAGGCGCTGTGAAATTATTTAGAAAATTTAGCTAGCCAAGGGCAGCACCTTTTGGGGGCTTTAGATCGGATTGGTCGGGCTGCGGGGGCATAAAGTAAAATGGAATTTGTTTTCATCTCGTAGAAAAAGTTTTGTGGCTGCAAAGTGGAAAGACCAAGAAAGCTTAAAAGGTTTAGATGCTTATTATAATCCCCCAAATCATTTTCGGTTTACCCTAAGAGCTTTTATTCACTGGGTTATTGAAAGTTGAACAAAAAATACTTTAAAATATCTTTTTTCCTGGGAGTCTAAGAATCAACATTAGAATAAATGTCAAAGAGGTTAATATTAATATTTAATCTAAAAATAAAACAGTAAAGCTTTATTCATATTGTAAAACCATTAAATTTTTAAATTAGTATTTTTAAATATTATTTTTTAGGGCAAACTAGGAGTAGCGAATTTTCAGTGAAATCACCCATTGTGCGAGCCACAATTAGCTTTAGTTCCACTCCGAGTTCCAAGACGAATCCCCAGCTCCGGGGCACTTGAGCCGTTTCCGGCAGATGCTCTAAGAAACCGTCCGGAATTGCAGGGCTTTTTGAATTGTTGCCAAAAACAATTTATGGCAGCACACTGTGTCGTTCCAAATTTTGCGCACAATTGAGAATTGTGCAATTGCATTTTGGCCGCCGGAGGACGTCCAGATAAAAGGGGGAAGATGTGGAAAATGGGGGGAAATTGTTGTCCCAGCTGCCGCTTAAGTTTTGCATATTTATTCGATAACGAAATAAGCGGCACTTAAATTGTAAATAAGGCCTGCAGCAGCTGGCACTGCCACAATAATTAAAAACAATACGCTAGGAAATTATGCTTAAAAGTTTAATGTGCACGCTGGCTGGCTAAAGAAGAAGAAGAAGAAAAAGTCCTGGCAAGAAGAGGAGCGGAAGGAAGCGGCCGAGGACGAGACAAGCAGACGCATAAATCTTCCAAGTGTTCACTTGGCTTCATTGCAACTGCTTAGCTCTGGTTTTCACTGGGGAAAAATAATCACGATTTAGTTTATAAAAATTAAGTTTTTGTTTATTTCATACATTTTTCGTATTTTTATTTAATAGGTCAATAGAAACCTAATAATATTTATATTCAATTATAATTGAATTATAATACAATAATTATTGTTGTGTTACCAAAATCTTGATGTAAAGTGTTAGAAAATAAAAAATATTTAAATATTTGTGTCGTTCAACATTTAACAATGAATAATAAAAATATATTAATGAAAAAAAACGTTGTAATATTTATAATAAATTATTGATTTTTTATTACCCAAATACATACAAATGTTAATGTGTAATACCCTCATACTAAATAATTAATATTTGAAATAATAATTTGAATATATACTTTAATTTTCTTTTTTAATTTATTTGTTGAAGATTTCTCCCTATGGATCTTCTTTCTCTGGCGGAGTCTCGAGTGCATTTGCTAATGACAAAGTCAAACAGGCGACAATGGTTAGCGGAATGCCAGTGTCTGAGTCCTGCGTCCTATGTCCCGCGTCCTGCGTCCTTGAGTGGCCACAAGCTGCCGCTGGCGATTGTCGTGCAATGCGGCGGCAAGTGTTGAAAGCATGTTAATTGCTAGCCATAACACCAGCAACAACAATAACTATGCTACAGCTACAGCTACAACTACAACTCCGGCGCCAGCTTGACAAACAAAGTTGAGGGGGGTTAAAAATGAGGTAAAGTAGGGGGCAAGGTGTAGGCCTTTTGCTCCACTTTTACGCCAAACATAAAAGCCAAAGCAGCACCATTTACATGTGCCTAGCGGAAGTGGCCAAACCCTCCTTCTCCCATAATTTTCCCCAGTCTATTTTCCGCACCCCTA